GAGATTAGGATAATATTACTAAGGAATAAGAGAAGAGACCTATAATATAGCTTTATATATCTACTTAGTATAGGTTTTATATAACTCTAAGTAATATAAAAGTATACTAGGGGGCTTAATATAGTTCTTTAGAGTAAATAGCTTTAGTAGTTAACTAAAGTAATAAATCCCTTAATAGCTCAGCTTATTTATAATATTAAGTAAAAGTCTACTACTATATAGATAATACCTAGTTACTTATAGTTTACTGCTAGTTAGTATATATCTATAGTTTATTATATTAGATATACTGAGAAAGACATTAAGCGATAATAATAATATAATAATACTTAGAATATTAAATCTATAGCTATTAGTAATTATAATAATACTACTATTTAAAGACTAAAAGACTTATAAGCTAGTAAGTATTATTAGCTATACTAAACGAATAATTTAATAATATAGATCATAACGTAATATTACTAGCGAGGTATAGAGATATAAGAGGTACTACTAGAGTTAATAAAAGATAGAAATATAGTATTATATAGAGCTTCTTAAACTACTATAGTACTATAGTAACCTATCCCTTAAAGAGATATAAGATTTCCTATTTAAAGCTTTTAAGATCTAGATTAATTATTCTATAATTAGTTAATAGTTAAATATATCTAGCTAGATAAATAAGAAGTCTATAATTATTACTACTTAGTAAAGTAATAAACTATAATATAAGTACCTATACTATATATAATAATATCACCCTAACTAGCTAGTATTTATTAATAAATCTAGTGTTAATAAGGATATTAAGATATAGAGGACTAGATAGGTACTAAAAAGGCTTATTACGTTTCAAACTATAGAGATTAATTAGTTTTAGAACTCTTATATATAAATCCTACTAGCCTTTACGTTANAATAGTATTTTATACTTAATTATATATTATAATATAACTAATAGTAATAAGTTTTTTTATTAGCTATAGAAATACTTTATCCTAAAATATAAGTGTTTTCTAGAACTAAACTTTATTATTATTATAAATAACCTCTCCTACTATTATATATTTAAAGTTAAGGATTTATACTAAATATTAAGTATTAATCTTAAGTTTCTACCTCTATATTTACTAAACTTTAATCCTATTAAGAAGTATTTTAGTAATCTAAAGTAATATATTAAGAAGATATATTTAAAGTAGAATAATAATAAGAATAATACTTAGGATTTTATAGAATATCTATATAACTATATTATAGAGATTAAGTATTATTTATTTTAAATTAAAAGCTATTTCTACTATTTATTTATTAACTTTAATAAGATAGAGTATATATTTAATAATATTAAACTATAAAAGAGAGGATAAGCTATAAATATTAAATATTAATAAGTAATCTAAATCTTTATTATATAATTATAATAGATCTTAATTATATTATTATATAGTAGGAAATTATTAGATCTATAATTATAGCTAGTAAGATTACAAAAAGTTCAGCTATAAGCGTATAAGAACATAGAAAATATATTATTATCTATTATTTTTATTAGTAGCTATATATATATATCAATTTTACCTATATAGTAGCTGAAATATATTATTAATACTTATAGCGATAATTTATAATAATAATATATCACTATAGTTAGAGACTTTAATTATAGTTAGAGACTTTAACTATATTAAACTAAGAAGTATTAAGATAGATTATCTTATTTATAGATCTAAAATTATAGTAATTCTATAGCTTTTATATATATATAGTAGTAGTATTAAATCTATAGCTATAAGTAGACTTTTCTATAGTTAAATATATTATATAAGAAAATTATATATATAGTTAAACTTTATATTACTCTTATTATATTACTCTTCTTCTTTATCCTCTTCTAAGTAATATATCTCTATTAATAATATATTACTTAAGATTTTAATCTAATTATCTTTACTACTTTACTTA